CTGTGGTAACTGTAGCGATGGAGAACAATGTAATCACGTGAACGGAAGTTGTCCAAACGGATGTGATGCAGGCGCTCAAGGAGAAATGTGTGACATAAGTGAGATGTGCTTTAATATGCCCATTTTCTGTACTTTCAAAAATGATTTCCATTTACAAGTCAGTTTAAAAGAAAAAGTTAAAAAATATACAGTATTGAAATATTACAAGGGTAGAAACTTACGTGTTTAAAATTCACTTTGTGTGAATTCATTGCTAATAATGTGCTAAGATCAGCGTCTTGGTATGTCTAAACTTTCCACTGAAATAATTTAAAAGATTAGCATTTTTCTTGTTGCAACAATTTTCATAGTAAATATGTCCAAAAATACGAGAGTTGTTATAAAAATTCGCGGACAAATTCTTTTGTCGGCGCGCTATTTGCAAAACCAGTAACACTCTGCAGTTAAAAAATAAAGTTTTTTTCCAATAAATATGTAGACTTGCTGTTTTTATATAATCCTTAAAAATATACAGCTGTATGATTTAAATAAAAACATGATTCATAGAACATATCACTTTTACACACTTTTACATTACATAGACTTTTTTATATTACAAATTGCACTATTGTGGCGTACATGTATAAAGATTTATGATATTTCACCTGTCGCTACAATATTAATGAAACACCATTTTGCAAACATTTGAATTAAATTGGAGGGGATATGTCTGTTTTATCGCTTATTATAGATGATCAATGCGTAAAAAAATAAAAGTCAAGACTGGCATTGTCATTGAACGTCTTGGAGCACCGAGCTGTTGAAAAATTATGTGTGCAGACAGGAAAATATCCAAAAGAGACTAAAATATTTTTAGATTATGCTGGGGATTGCCTACATGTACCTAGGACCAAAGTGTTCAAAAAGTAGTAACTATGAAAGAATGGAAGGATGGACACTTCTAATGATCAACTCCTGCGATACCCCAGTTCCCCACTTATCGCACGGACGTTGCGCCTATAGATTTTGCATTGTTTCCATACCTGATAGGTTATATGTAACTGCGAAGACATTAATTTCAGGAATATTAATTCACTAATATCTGACAAAAGACGTTATAGAAAAAAAAATAATTTTGTCTTCATATATTTATTTCATTTATAAGTTAGAAAACGCATGAAAAGCCTTTAGAAATGAAAGATTTTTTGAACTGTGATAAAGATTGACAGGTTTGGAATTAGATTGTTGCATCACCTAACGTCAAAAAACTCAAGTGATTGCTCCGTAAACCTATGACCACACAATAAAAATCATTGCATATTTTCAAACTTTTAGTAAATGGACGTGATTTTATACATATACTAATAAAGAAAGGATAAGAATTTAATCAGGGATATGTCATTCGTCAAAGTACACAATTAAGTTTCCGTTAATCAATGTGTCTGCGAATTTTTTTTACAACCATCGTTGGTGATTAAAGGTAAATAGCTGCATATGATGCATAATAGAAAAGAACGTAACTTTTTTTTATAATTTAAATTATTCCTTTTTTCGCAGAAGAAACTGCTCCAATTATTATTTTCATTGATCACAAATTTCAACACTTTGTTCCTTAGCTGAAAATTATGTTTGATCGCTGTTTTTCATTGAACCCTTTTTTTAATCCTTTAAGATTTTCAACACAGGCATTTCTCAGAGTTTTTATTTTTTGCACTAGTCTACGTTTTTTAACACACATTTCTCGAATAATACATTTTCAATTCAAATGGATTCAAATGAATTAATCATGGGAATCATATAATTTAATTTTTTTTTTTTTTTTTTTTTTTTTTTTTTTTAATGAAATTTTCTTGAGGATACAAACCTAGGGATTATTAACGCTTTTTCATGAAACATAGCCGTATAAGTCTTCAATGTCACCCTTATGAAAGTCTTTATATTAAAAGAAATTTCTTGATTTATCATACTAATTGAATAAAAAAGGAAAGGGGACACTACATGTACTATTGTTGTCATCCTCATACTTAGATGATGAGAATGATGATGATGATTATTTTTGTTGTTCTTGTTCTTGTTGTCCTTAGAGGCAAATACTTTCAATCATCTCCTTGAAATTATTTTTGGAATTATCTGACAGCTTGTCCTTTCGGTAAATACGGAGAGAATTGTGCTGGATTATGTAACTCAAACTGTAGAGGGGGTTGTAACAGATTTACTGGTTTCTGTGAGTCTGGTTGTTACCCTGGATGGAAGGGACTGCTCTGTGAGAAGGGTTCGTCTTGTATCCTATGTTCCATTCTATAATTGTTTATTATTTTATTCTTTATAAATCAATAAATTTGCATAAAGAGCTAACCTGCTTACCTGCAACAACCAATCCAGCCTAAATGTATTTCGTTTTGTTTTTATAAATTATATTGTATCGAATGTACTCAACTCAAGGAAAACAAGTATAAATTTTAGATTTTATAGGATATTCTGATTTGACTTATGTACTCAAAAACAATGACCTCAGTGGAGATAAGGTTTGTAAATAAATGATAACACAATAGACAGTAGATAGACAAAGTTGATGAAAAATGCTTTACTGCTAACTCATACCACATCTGATCTTTCCAGGAATTTCCAGTCCTTCTTTGAGCATTCCGTTCAGTTTACTTTTTTCAGTTTATATTTATATACTATACAGTAAGTAATGAAATTTCGAATCTTACAGAATGTGACGGGTGGTTTTACGGTGATGACTGCAGCCAGTTATGTGGCTCGTGTTTTGATTATGCACAATGTCACCACATAAATGGAACATGTTTAAATGGATGTGACAGAGGATATCATGGAGAAAAATGTACTGAAGGTGCAGTATTTCGAATTAATCCGTGACGTATATGAGAAAACCTCCTTTATCGTTATCTGAGTCAATGAGATGAGTTTAAAACATTCTGAATTTAAATTTAATGGGTAAAAAAAACCCGGAAGATTATGCTGCTAAATTCAATTTTTACATTAGAGATGCTGTAAGTCGTGTTTAAGCATAAAATCCATTATTTGATAAAAGAACGGTTTGTTTTAAATATTGATTTAGATTATTTCATTTATCTACTGCTTTTATCGATCATTTATTTATTTATTCATAGGCCCGCTCGATTAAAAAATATTTCGTTGTTTTCCTTGGATAACTCTATATCTTAAAATGAATTATAATCACTATACAATATATTTCACCGTCTTGTCTACTGGACAAACACAGCACCCTTTTCTTATAGAAGTAGCACTGATTCGTTTTCTTTATTTTTTTTTCCTTCTAGGATGTCCTATTGGATATTACGGTTTTAATTGCACAGACAGGTGTAGTATGAACTGTAGAATCCCTCGACGATGTAACGTAGTGACCGGTCATTGTCAAGGCGGATGTCAGGAGGGATGGAAACCCACAAAATGCGACAAAAGTAATATATATATATATATATATATATATATATATATATATATATATATATATATATATATATATATATATATATATATATATATATATATATATATATATATAGCCCCCACGCCAAGAAAGCCCATGGCTGGTCATATTTTTATGGAAGCATCCTTAGTTAGTGTAGATTCAAGTTTGTTAAAACCATGACCCCCAGGGATTGGGTGGGGCCACAATGAAAGTTCAAACATGTAGGGAAAAAGTCACAGTTAGTTAAAAAATATGTAAGCATCCTTAGTTAGTGTAGATTCAGTTTTGTTTAAATCATACCCAATCCCCTCTCTCTTTTAGGGTGAGGTCGGGACCACTTATGCATTTAAGCTTTTCAGTACTAATCTGATTTTTGCTTTTTTCTTACCCACAGTGCTCAGGTGAGCGATGTGGCCCCTGGGCCTCTTGTTTGAGATTACTGATACTTTTCATCCCCACAACCCCACCAACCCCTAACCCCCCGCCCCATGCTAAGAAAGCCCAAAATAATCCATATAATGGATGAATTTAACATTTTTTTTTTGTTTCAAAGTTAACTCGCTTCAAATTTACACGCCGTCTTGACATTCGAAACCCTCCAGATTGTACGTAGTTTATGTACTGAGGAAAAGTTATCGTCTGTGTTTGTATTGCTACATTGCAAGTACACGGAACGCATTCTATCGTAAAACCGAGTCCGTAAGACATTATTATATTCCATCTCATCTATGCTTGAAATCTAGTTTAAAAATTCATAACAAGTTATAATTAAAAGTCTTGTGATATTTCTGTCCCGTTTTCCTCTCACAATTAATAAATTTCGCTCATCATTTCAGTTAAATATCCGCTGCATACAGCCATTACCTTAGCGACTATTACGTTGATCTTAATTTTTTTTTTTTTTTTTTTTTTTTTTTTTTTTTTTTTTTAATTCTTTTCTGTAGAATGTGACGGTGGAAAATTCGGACTTAACTGTGCTCAGTCATGTGGGGTTTGCTTTGGAAATGAACAGTGTGATTATATAAGTGGGACTTGCTTGAATGGCTGCGATAAAGGTTACCAAGGAATAAACTGTTTACAGGGTAAGATGATAAGTTGGTCCTTTTCCAAATTAGATGTGTTTCTTATGTTTCTACATGTACTTTGATTTCAAAAAAAAAAAAAAAAAAAAAAAAAAATAACGGATCTGGATATGTATTGTAAATAATGTTTTATGTAATCATTTTTCTAATATATTTATATACCCATTTCTCTTCAAAATTTTGGCATGCATATTATCCATCAGTATTTCATCAATGGGGATATTCACCTAATGACTCTTTTTAATCAGGAATTATTAAAATTGAAATAATCGAAAAGTAACAATGTACATCAAAATAATTTGGAGTTTAAATTCTGCATTAATTTATGAAGATATAACAGAAATGATAAACAATGTCATATTGCCTAAGAAAAAAATATATTGAATATGATTAAAACTATATTTTGTAACCTCTTACATTTAAATATTTCTTTTTCGTAAAACTGCATAAATGATTAAATAAAAAGTCGTTTACTAAATTAGAATGCCGATTGGGATTCCATGGTTATGGATGTAATGAAACATGCAGCACAGACTGTTTTAACAAAACATGTGATGCCACGACAGGAGAGTGTCTATTGGTGAGTAAACTGATTTAAGTCAAACGTAATAAGCACATCTATTTATTTTATTTGTAGGTTTAAAGGGTTCACTAAATGTTGAACATGCCTTTATAAATACACCTAATTAAATTTACTACATGTAAATATTAAGTGAAGCATGTTCTTGGACTCATGAATTTAAAGTAAAATTCCCACTGATTATACAATTTGAGACATACACGCACATACTGTGGACTCTAATATTTATGATTCCTGTTTCAGTTGAGTAAAGCGCACCACGATTAAAATGTACAAATATAAATTATCACTGGGTCGAATTTTTGGTTGACGCGTTTCATGCCAATTCTTAGAATTTCTAATATTAAATTTTAGTAAGAAATGTCTTTTCTTTTAAAAACTCTAATTTTCACAAAATACATTATAAGTATCTACCGAATAAAAAAAGCAAATATAAAATAAAACTCAAATGGGCTACATTTTAATTGAATCAAATAATGTTGATTTCTTCGAAATTTTAGGACAGGTATCTAACACATTGTGGTATTTTCTTGTCAGTAATATGTTACACATATAAAAATTCATTTTGTTTCAAAAGCTTCATTATTTTAACATCTGCGTAATTTACTGCACTTCATTATTTTTCGTCATTATGTGTAATTTTAAAATACGAAAAAAAAATGTAATTTTTTTAGTATATTTTTGCAATTGATGGAAATCAAGCTGAGTTTCATTTATTAAGTATGCATACATGAATAATATTGCTACATGTTGTGCATATGCGTAATTTAATACACTTTGCAGATACAGACCCCAGATCCACCAGAAATCAACATTGCCCCTATAATAGGAGGGGGCGTGGCTGCAACCATTGTGAGCCTGACTGTTGTCATATTCGTAATTGTGGTCAGAAGGTACATGTACGCTTCACAAACTGGTTTTATTTGCTGAAGATAAACATACCTTTTGCTTTTTGTTGGTTAAAGGGCTTTGACTTTTTCAGTTTACGAATCCATATCATTTTATGTACGAGGTATAACGGTACAGTCTTTTAGTTACTTGATCATTATATAATTATGAATGCTAAACTTCCTGGAATTTGTCACTAGCATGAACGCATCGCATATTCCTATTCGTTTATGATGGGATTTTTTAGAAATAGGAAAGGATTTTCTTTTTTTAAAAAATCAGAAGAAAATGCCTAGAAGATCAACTCAATATTACCTGGTTTCGAATATTTTTGGATTTGTAGAAAGAAGGAGAGCAAAAGACGCAATTCTCAGGAGAAAATTGATACTCAGCTTTCCTCAGAACATGCAACACCTAACATATATATTTATGACAACATTGACGAAAATGGCGAATATCAAGAACTTAGAAAAGTGGGACGTAGGACAGGAATGTGTGATAAATTTGAGGACAAAGGAGGATACGAAGAGCTGGGTCAAATAAAACTGCCCCCTCGTTATAAATCACACGTGCATAAGTATTAAAGTGCCTTAATGAGAAATTATCCATAATGCGTCAGATGTTTCTATGCAGTTTACTTTAATTTTTTATAAGAAGTAACTGAGCTTATATAGGATAAGAGTTATTGATTTTAATATCTTGGCATTTCTTACAGTTTTGTTTTCCTAGTATACATTCCTGGTATTGAAAAAAAAATTAATAAGAAGAACAATCAAAATGAAATAAAGTTAGAAATATTTCAGATACGCATTTAACATATCCAATTTTATGAATATAAATAAAATTGGCTTTTCGGGAAGCCTAAAATGTCACCTGAATGTATTTTGTTTCAACCAAAAATAAACCAGAAAGTAGAAAAGCCAACAAAATTTTGTTGCAGTGTACATTACCTACTTTTATAACTTTTCATCAAAGTCTTTTACCAGTCTTTAATTTAGAGAAACATATGATGTTCAGGCGCTTTTATTTTAGAGAATTGATTACTAGATATAAACAATTAAATGTTTACAAATTATATGTAACACTGGGAAGAATCCCAATCATAGATGTTGGATTTTTAAGGGTTTTCTGGGAAAAAATATTATTATTTCAAAAATAATAGGAGTTGTTTGCATGGCTTACTCCATAAAATCTGAGCCAGGGGAAATAAAATGTTCTTTTATCTCAAAATTTTATCAAGAAATAACAATCCTGTAACTTATATAATAAAAAAAAAGAAACAACGAATAGCACAGACATCCATGAAAACATCTGTTAGAAAATACCAATGGTTCACACCAGACAGTAAGATTTCAAATGGCTAGAGTACATATAAAAATCGTTTTTTCGCCGTTAGTTTAAATAAACGGTTTAAAAAAAAAGTATATTTTCATCTGGAGATAACATCATTGTATTCAAACAACTGTTGTATCTATAATGTACTCTACACCATCAAGAATAAGCATTAACATACCGGTAAGTATCGCACTCCTTGTCCATTGCAGTTTTGTTTACCGATTAATAACTCTATTAATAGAAATCGCGTCAGTTGTTGAATACTGAGCTCTTGCGCAGAATTTTTCCTGACCTTATACTAAACAGTTTGCATCATATTGTGCTGATTAAACTAAATTCAATTGAAAACCAACGTTTAAATTCTATACCAAAGGCATTTCGTGAGTAATTTTATTTTGTGGCGGTTAAAATTTCTATTTTAAAGTATTGCAGTGCAAAAATGACATTCTGAAATTGCATGAAGGCCACTAAATTCACAAGATGAAAGGCTTTCTCTACTCTTGACTTAATGACGGCTTAAAGGTGCTGAAAGAGTGATTACAGATCGTCTTTAAGTCACATTTAAGCACCCTTATACTATCTTTAAGTAATATTCTCCAATTCCTTAAAGAGTGATTGAAAGTAGCTTAAAGATGGCTTAAATGTGGATTATAATTGCTAAAATGTGGCTTATAAACAGTCTTTAATTCACCATTAAACCACCATTTAGCCCGACTTATAGACACTTCCATCTTTAAGCCATTATTTTGTTACCATTACTCTACCTATAGACTGTTTTTATAGGTAAAATATTATTCATGTATTAATTTAATTGCGCCAGTTATAAATGTCGGATTAACACTTATTTTTATTTTCTTAACTCGACGTATCACAATTAATATAGATTATAAAAAATATCCGTACGGCGGAGTAGATCTCACAATCATCTGCAAGGAAGCCAAATATCTTAAGCTATGCACTACGTCAGCTAACCAATACACTATGTCGGCTGTAACTAATGCCCTGCACGCACAACAGTTAAAGCGAAGTAAACTAATACGCATTAGAATTTAATTTTCTACAGTAAGGCTATTTTGACATTTACAAATCACAGCACCTTATGCACAACCGATAACATTTGATTTAATATCACATTTTATTTATAAACTTAATTGCCTTAAATTTGTTTTTCAATCAAAAATAGTGTTAGTACTTACATGTATATCTGACTACCGACAAATGACGATTGGCTTAATTCTGCTATCACGCATGCGTCAAAATTTAATTCGAAACAGCTTCGCTTAGCGTTCACACGAAAGTAACCCGAATTACACCAATTTGTATTAAATAATCTGTGTGAAAGCGGTTCATATTTAATTTGCAGTAACTTAAATTGAATTCCATTTAAATTCTCCATGTGAACAGGGCATAAGTTGTAATATATAACTTAAACATAATTGCTTAAATTTGTGTAAGATGAAAATTTGTGTTATAACTAGTACACGTAGCTACATGTAGTAATACGGAATCTCTAATATACATTCAGAGGCAGAAACCATTTACTTTCAATCAATAAATTTATATAATAAAAAAAAAAAACAATGGCTAAGAATGACAAATTTTTCACACTTAAATGTGCTTTGTAGTAGCTAGTCTGATTTCTCCCCTTGCATTTAATCTTGACCAAATGGAATATTTTTGATTCAGTGGTTTAGGACATAAAGCATCCATCAAATTCCGTTTATTTCATCCTGATTTGCTTAGTAATCCCGAGCATGCTGTAAACTTATCATTGCTCATGATGAGGTGATAAAAACTCGTATAGTTTGAATTGCTTTAGTGCTTATATGTTGTATTTTGGCATTCGAAATATTCTATACTTACTTGTGTGAACTAGTTTTAAGAAACGCATTTACTAAATTGCCTCTTGAATCTTAAATGTTTTGTAAGGGTTTAAATCATATTCCTAGATTATTACAATGAAGACGAATGAACAGTTGAGTAAGATTTATTTTGTTGGTGAACATGCCCTTGGCTTTAGTCTTTAAGGCTGCCGAGTGTTAAATGGCTAGCCCTAAAATATACGTTACATTATACATTATATTAAACATTACATCATTCATTATGAAACATCATCAATGAAGGGAAAATAGTTAAAAATATTGTTTTGAAAATCTTTGAATTACGTTTAATATTATGCCTTCCATTTAAGAGAGTATTATACAATTATAGACTCTTTCGATGGTGAATATGGTTTGTTATTCACCAGAAAATGCCAATATTGACCGAAGCGAATATTTTTTTTTTATTATATAGTCCGGATTTGAATAAATAAGACATTGAAGACTAGATGATGATACCACTTTCATTTTCGAACTTCTCTCGTGGAAAAATAAAAAAAAAAATGTCAAGATTACAAGTTTTAGCTTTCGTGTTTTCCTTTTGCTATTTGTAAGACACTGAAATGTTTAGAAAATAATCCTGCCATAGGCTTGACTAATGTATTTCCTGCTCAAATACACAGCTGGAACCGGCCGTTGCAACCATTGTTTACAACGTTGTTTGAGGTGTTGATTGTGACGTCACAATGCCGCTGCACGCGCACCGACCCTCCGGTGAATACGGCTTCAATACCAGTGAATGTGTATTGTTATGAACTGTTTGCGTTTGTATAGATTATATAGGAACTATAAATAGACTATATAATGATATGCATTATTCATTATCATACATTATATTTTTCAACATTGTATAATAATATTCATTTTGCATATATTATGCAATAATTTATTATTCATTATGGCGAAATAACATTATGACATTATGCTTGTGACATTATGCATTACCATTATACATCATTGACTTTATGATTGAGAAAGATAGGCAAAGGTGTACTTTCATTTTGACCTGATACCCGGTACAATAATGCTATAAATCTAAGAAAAGGTACAAACGATGTCACTGTTTTAAAACGTCTGTACCAGCTAATTATAATCGAAAACTATTGCTATATTGTTATACTCTTGTTTTCAAAATCATTAGATCATGTTAAGAAACATAAATATATCTGAGTATATTTTACCTTTTTAAAGTGTATGGAGTGGGCGGATGGATTTCTTTTTTAAAAACAGTCCTCCTTGACCAGCTTATTTACTGATGTTTACAATTTTTGTGAAATGTGGCGTAAAGACAACGAAGGTATCGCGACACAATGCTTAAGCAGAATGTACTTTTACCGCCGCTACATTGTTGTGTGCTTTGGTATTTCATTGCTTTGATAAGCCGATTTTTTTTTGTATGAAAATAATTTGTATCAGTATAGATAATAAAGGCAAATATAAAGTTTGATCAGATTTATTTTGATGGCGAAAGTGGCCTTAAGGCTGCTGGGTATTAAATGGCTAGCCTATCATCAAAACATTATACATTACATTATGCATTCAATAAACATTATTCATTATGCATTATGATATGTATTACATTATACATGTACATTACATCATACATGTATCTTACATTTTAAATATGTTACGTCATCAGTTAAGGGGGAATAGTTCAAAACAATGTATTGAACATCTTGAAATTTTGTCCAATATTAAGCCCTCCATTATAGAGATAATTATCCATTATTCAGCTTGCCTACTTCATTCAATACTTCATTACTCATAGCATTATAATATTATGATACAATACATTATGACATTTATATGCACTATCACTATCATTATACATTATCGGCTTGATGATTGAGAAAGATAGACATAAGTATACTAGCACTGGGAACAAATACTCGGTATATATACTAAGGCTTTAAAATCTATAACGGCCAAAAACGTCGCGATAAATCGCCACATAATTGTTCGAGCAACGTGAGAGCAACCACCTCCAATAATATTGGAGGATGAATGACGCTTACATTGACCGGGCTTTTCGTCTGGCTAATTATGACTAGTGACTAATAAGTAAATATAAATACTTTTATTTCTCAACTGAATTTATGAAACTTTTTCCCAATTGGTCAGTTTTGGAATATGAGAGTGTAACTTGAAATTACTCTGTAATTTTTCATTTGATGACTAGACAATGGGAATTTGTGTGCATTATTGTCATTTATACAGTGATGGTCATAGACTTTATTGCTCGTAACTTCAGAACAAAAAATGTGTTTAAAAATTACATGAACAGGAGTTTCAATATGTACAGTTATTAGTAAGGGTTTTTTTTGGTGACAGTTTGATGGCCTTCAAAAGATTTCTAATTTAAAACAATT